GGTCGCATAATATTTGAAGGTAAGTGAATGGCGATTCACTAATTTTCCACCATGAAAACGAAAATAGAGATTAAGTTTTAAATGTATCGAAAACTCCTAGATCTTTTGAGATTCATTGAACTTTTCAACAACATGTTTAAATCTTTATTTGCCCCTAGTTTTCTGACTGGGATGCCGAGGATCACAAAACTGGGTGTGAATAAGCATGCAAATATACATGGTGCCCCCAATGTTACAGTCACCTAATCGATGTGCCGATTAGCCACACACGCTCCATAGATCTATAAAAAAACATCGATTTACCCTTTGCCACCTTTTCTTAGAGCCCATTTAGTGTGTCGGTTAACCACCCATGCTCCACTAACGTCGTAGCAAGGGTACAAAGTGTAATTTTATGTAATTGCATCAAATTCACTTTTTTCTAAAGTAACTAAGATTGAGAATTTTGTAAAAAGATTTAGTTACTTTATAATTCATTATACTTTTAGTGGAAATGATTTTTCCCTATCCTACCTGTTCAACTAACGACCCTCCACCAATCAAGGAAGCGGTGGGTGAGACTGGACACCCATTAAATGACCATTTCATAGGCCATAACCTTATACCCCCTTATAGATCAGCTTCGTGAATGAGACCTACTAACAGTAAGACTAGCATCTTTACTCATACATATATAATATTAGACTTTTAATTTTATATATAATATAAGGGTGTATTTTATACTTTTAAAATACTAGGTGGTCTAATTTAATAGATTACACTTTATAATTTAATTAAATATAAATCATATCATTATGGATTTATTAACTCTCCTTTAATTATACATTTAATTAACTTAATAAAACCATAAGGGTGTAATTTGAACTTTTTCAAAAACTAGGGTTTTAGAATTTAATATTTCAAAATTAAACTTTTAATCAAAATTTTAAATTCTAAAACTTGAGGACAATTTTTGAATTTTTTCAAACCATTATATTTTAGAATTTAAATATTTCAAAATTAAACGATTAATCAAAACTTTAAATTCCAAAACTTGAGAGCATGGTTTGAACTTTTCAAAACATTATCAAGGACATTTTAGATCAAATTCAAATATTTCAATTAAACAATTAATTGGTGGTTATCTAATTTTGACCTAATCCAATTTCTTGCAAGATAATTCAAAACAAAATTATAAATAATTAATATTTATCTTATATAACAAGTAAATATCTTAATTTTGACAATTCTCTTATATTTTGGTAAGGATAATCATCAAATATGGATAAAATTTGAATTTTATTAATGAAAAACATTTAGATAATAATTATTAAGGAATTATATACTATGATTTATGACTTCATTTCTAATGAATGTCTAGATTTATTACACATAGCGAATCAACTTTATCAAAACAACTATAGTCGTTGTAATTATTTTTTTACAAGTTAAAAGATAATTTTGAAATCTTTCTCAAAGCTTTCAGTATAAAGTTGAGAAATTGTTTAATAGGATCATTAAAGGTATCTGAGATTATAAAGGATGAATTCGACCTTACTAGATATACTTTACTTTCTAATCGATAAAAAATATCCTTGTTTATTCGTAGAAAAATCTAAAATGTTGTTTAGATCATTATATACAATTCCACCAAGAATAAGTTCTCTTATTCCTCTGAAAGACGAGTTCACAGAAAAAAAGATTCTAATGACAGAGCAAGTGGGAGACACATGGAACTTGAAGTATCTCAAGAACCATAACATGGTGTAGCAACAGTTGACACTAGCTTCGAAAAGGAATTGTTGGTTATGAATAACAACTATTCATAAACACAAACTGCTTTTATTAATGGTAGGAATTAGGTATAACTTGATGGTTTCTTCTTCATGGTTTCTATAAAATCTATTAACTACTAGTATGCAATATCAGATCTTGAATTTTATAAATGACTTTGAGTCATGAATACTAAGATGTAATCCATATCTAATAATCAAGTATGGGCTTGATTAATCTTCCTCTTTATAGCAAGGCGAGAAAAAGAAAATAACTCTTCTAGAAAAAAATACATACATGGATATCTATAAATATTTACCATGACTTGTTATAAAAGGAGTTTCTTATACTAATTTCATTGACTATAATAAATCTTGTTCACAATTAGCTATGATTAGATCAACAAGGATATTATTTACCATAACTACACATTCTTAATAGACATGGAAAGTCAATTTCATGAAAATCATTTTTCTTAATAGAAGCCTACTTGTAGATATCCATTTATTTTAGCCTAGAGGTTTTCTTAATCCATGTTATCCTAACGGAATGTGTAAGCCTTAAGATCCATTTATGGATATAAATCAATTGTCTCAAGGTTAGAATAAACATTTTAATATGAAAATAAAAGGTATGATTTTAATATCAAAATGAAGATAACATATGTGTTTACTAAGAACTAGTGGGAGTAATAATAGTATTCCTACTCTTGTTTGAGAAAGACATACTTAATTATGAGAAACTAAATTCTAACTATGATAGGCTCTTTTCGCCTTGACTCAAAAAAAATTTCTAAGATAAAAGACTTAGGAAAGACATGATACATTCCTGGAATCTAAAATCTATGGAGATATATAAAGATGAATGTTAAAGTTTTAATATTTTATGCATAAATTGACAATATCTTAAAAGAGATCAAGATAAAATATTCATATGGAGGACTCTTGGCGTTGACATATGACAACATTTTAAGCTTGCATCAAAAGGACCTAACACATAGGCTTGAGCTAGATAAAATGGTTTATATTATATTTCCTTGGCAAATCAATGCATCATTTTTGCTTTATTACGCGCAAGACCAGGTATATGATCATGCTAAGAATTAACATATCATTACATAGCAATTGGATACATGGGTAAGTCATGAGATGACTATAAGAACATTATTAGAGTACATAAGAAGAACTAAGAGAATGTATATTAGATAATCAGTTTAGAAGAAGATATTTTATTTAAAGAGCTACACAAGATACTGACTTTAAAACAAAATTGGATAATTTTGAATTATAATTGGATTATGATTTCATTATGGAATGAAGAGTAAGATTTGTTTGAATGAGGCCCAAGAAAAACATAATAATAAAGTACACTACAAAATCATAATACATTACTGCTTCAAACGTTGTAATCAAGTATGATTGGATGAATTAGTTCATTAAAAAACTAAGTTATGTCATTGCATTATATGATAACCTAGAAATCTTTTGTTACTTCGAGAGTATACTTAACGAAGCTACGAAAATCTGTGTCACATAACAACAACAATCATATTATCCTAGATATTTAAGTATACATAGAACAAAGTCAATATAGTAATGATAGTATTCACAGAATTCACACAAATTAAATTTAGTCAGCCGCATTAATAAAGTCTTTCCTTAAGTTATGTATAAATAGTCACATTTCAACTATAAGACTTTGTTATTCTAAAAATAGGACTTGATTTGGATTTAGTATTTGAATATTGGAACATGATGACAATAACTGTTATGTTGTTTTGTTATATTGGGATATGATCGTCGCGTAAATACTTGTTGTGTTTTATGTTAACAAATTTAATCCGTAAATAATCTAATTATTCTAGAAGGTCCATAGTAAATTATAATTACGGGAGCAATTATGAAGTAAGACTAATATGAATTGGATAGGTTTACTCTTACTAAATAAAAGTAGGAAAGGTTTTGTAATCAATATTCATAGGTACTTTTGTTAAAGAGAAAGTATTAGCCAGACCGGCATCAAGATCACCTTATAGATCGCTTTCATGCGTGATACTTGAAAAAAGGGACAATCTTTGTATTTTTAATACCTGAGATACATAGTAGGAGTTAAGTGTAGGGATTGCTATACTTTGATGTAGTTAAATGTTGATACTGTATTCGGTAGTTATAAAGGCTATTTTCAGGTGTGGTGTGAACTATACAAGAGGCTTATGTATTCCAGATGGGATTTGTTCCTATTATGTGTTGAGAGTTGAAAATTTAATGGGCATTACATAAAGTTAAACACAAAATGAGATTGATTGTGATCCAATTTTGAGAACAATAAACGAGATTATTTGATTTTATAAAAGAATGTGAATCAAGACAAGAACAATGAAGATCAAACGTGTGTCGAATACTTAGAATAATAAACTTTATAAGAGTTCAATGTGAACTTCTCTGTGAAGGCTTACAACGGCGATTAGGGTTTTACAAGCATTAACCCTAACAATGCATGCATGCACTCTATATACAGGCTAGACTATTAAATTAAAACCGAGAATGGATAGGCCTCATTCAATAATAAATAAACCTATACAAGTACATAATTGACATAACACAAATAAGCTCAATAATCTCCCCATTTGTGTCAATTTGCGAAGGAGATTCTTCATTGTTGTCTCTTCTGCACCTTAGATAGTTTCGACATCAAATTCAATAGGACATTCTGACAACTAGGTACCACTGGATCATATCTGCGAAGCAATTCTGATCAGAAACATTATTGACTTTACAAGCTTCAGTTAATCCCATGATAGAGTTCAGAGCTGCAGTTGAGTATAAGTGTTTGTCTAGCAAGAAGAACATACTCTTCTGAATATTTTGTCGTTCCTTCAATTGGTACACCATGCTCCAATTGTATTTCTGGATTTTACCCAACTTCCGCTTGTATAGATCCTTCGGTTCCTCTTCAGGTTTTAAAACGAGCCTTTTCTTCAGAACAGACATGATTTCTACATCCATCTTAGCGACTTCATGAATGTAAAAAAATAGCATCCTCTTCAAATGAGCTACTATCGGCTCGTACTTCTGTTCATCTTTCGACAAAATCAAGAACAGAGAGATCCAATCTTATGGATTCATGCAAGGTAAATCAGCAAGAGTGAATTCATCCTCAACATGACTTACACCTCGAAATCCTTTGAACTTAGTATTTATGAAGTGTTTTGTTAGAATAGGTGCATAAACCTTCATAGAAACTATCTTCTACGAACTCCAAGTCTGATATTGAGGCTTTCCATACTTAAGATAGAAATAGAAGAGCATATGATTGACAACATAGTTCGAGAGTGGAGCTTTCTCAATCTTCTCAAAGCATTGGATCAAAAAAGCCTTGGGAGTGATCAGAAAATCAAGTTGAAAATCGATAGTATTATTTAGATTGAAAGATAATGATGGATCCAAACAGTGAGTGTTTGGATTATTAACAGCTTCATTGTGAATTCTTTCCATAGTCCAAGGTAGAAAAAGCGACTTCTGAGTTTCAAGGGTGACTTTCACAATTCTAGCTTTAGCCTCCTTCGCTTCTAACTCTTTTCAAAGTTTCAGAATATCATCAAGATCCTTGTCTTGTTTCTTTCTCACAAAATTTTCACCTTCAGATAGCTCTTCTTTGTCTTCATCATCTTCAAAAACTTTCGCTTTTCCTTTACCTGATGCAGAAACTTCATTACCCTTCTGATCATTGGGATTCGATTTTTGCTCAGCTTCCTCAATATTTTGGCTAGGATTTTCTTTTTCTGTACTATCTCCCACTTGTTTTTGAAGAGCATCACTTTCAGAAACACCTTCAAGTCTTTCTTGCATCGAAAAAATTGGGTTGAACTTGTCTGAAAGATGTTGTCATACCGAGATTGTGACCAAAGAATCATGAGTCTACATACCATTACAGAGATATTGATTAATCTCCGGAACACAACTTTTCATATCCGTTTTATTAGACTCTAAATCATCCAGATGCCTATTGGTATAATGCAATTTAAACAAAAGAACCTTGACCTTCTCAATCTTTTCATCTAGTTTATCCATGAGATTGTTCTCTCTGGCAAGGTCTTTCTGCTGTTGTTCTATTTTCGAAACAACAGAGGCATTAAATTCTTCATTGTCAAGATGGATGTATGAACAAACACGAGAAAGTGCCTCTTTATCAGTTTGCAGAATATAACCAAGATCCGCAATAACCTTATTTACTCCCGCAATAATTCATCAGAAGAGCGCCTGAATTCAACCATGAACCTTGTAACTTCATCATGTAGTTTTGTCGTTTACTCGGTCGTTGTAGAGATGGTTTTCTTAGAAACTTGAATAGCCTTCTTAGAATCTTCAAGGACGGATACATTAACTTTAGTGAGCATCTTATCCATTTCTTGATGAGACTTTAGCATGTACTCAAAGTTAGATTAAGATTAGGAAGACTCCAAAAGAGAATCTAAATTTTCATTGAGTACTTTACACTGCCCTTTTGTCACCGGTGAATTTTCATCATCAATGGTTCTATGGATGGTGAAGGGATTTAAAAACAAACTCCTGAAAATTCTCCTGATCATCACTAAAAACGATGTCTGGATCGTCATCACGAAATGGTGAAGTTGTAGATGCTCTTGGACCAACAGTAACACTAAAATTGACATCTACTCCCATATCGGGTATGTTGACAGTGACTTCTGGTGTACTCATAGTTGTTGTAGTACTTGAATCGGTAAAGAATGGGGTGGAGAAAGGGACATAGATATGTGGAAGAGAAATATCACACCCCCAAACCAAATTAGCGGAAACATTCGGGGGTAGAGGACGTCATGTACAGTATCACAACAATGCATAATAGTAAACTAGTAACAACATCATCCATTGCATTAAGAATATAATTCAATACATGTGTGCTATGTTTATTTAGTTTATAAGACACCAAAAATGAATACTCAAAATAAAGACGAGTCTTAAAGGCTCCATCTTCTCAAAACCTGGTCATCTGTACCTGTCTACTGGTGACCTGCAAATACAAGTTATTTTGAAAGAAAGGATCAGAATTTAAACTGGTGAGTTCATAAGTTTTTAGTGTCAAATGTTGTAAGTTTGAAGAAAAATGTTTCTAAATGTTTGTATATGTTGTAAATGTTTGTTACTCCAAGAAAATCCTATATTTTCTACTAAAATGTAGCCTTCTACCAAGACCCAAATGTTCTGAATGTTTGTTTCTTTGTAAAAGTGATTGTTTTTCCCAAATGTGACTATCATTACCTAAAAATATAGTTTTACATTACTGTTTATGTGAGAAGATCACAATGTGAATGCAATGGGAAAATAATAAAGTACTATAGTGTTGTATATAGTAACTACTGTTGTACTAACTACCTTATACCAATTGTTAATTAAGGTATAATGTGATATGAATATAACCATAATTGATCGACTAGTAAAACACAACGCTCGAAGACGTCGAAATGGTATGACATTCGTCACCTGTAGACCCGTAGGTCCCACTGTAGCTAGCAGTAAGGTGTAGGATGGTTAGTCCCGTATAGATCTATACACAAATTCATGCTCTCCCTCTAGGAGACTCTGGTAACAAAACGTGACAAAGAAGTAGATTGCCATGCCATGAAGTACTGGCTCACTTTTATGTTATAGTATGTTTTGGTGTATTGAATGTTCTCATAATAGTAAGTTTGTATTGACTCATGAATGAACTGACTCTTGCATGTTTCATTATACTAGAAATAGTGAGTAGTAATCTCCTAAACTATACCTATTATAGTTTACCGCTGACGTTGTTTGAATGATTGAGTGTGTTTTATACACCTTTTCTACGCAAAGGTGTTGAACTGAGATAAAAGCTTTTTATATCTATATACATATACATAATATATAACTAAGGTTCAAACAACACTCGGACAAACAATCGGATACTCTAAGTCCACAACCAAACAAGGAGCACGAAAGAAATCGAGCACATACATAATGATCCATATTTCTTCTTCACATAAGACCGACACTCCCCAAGGTGAGAAGCTTGGTCTTATAACTCCCTTTCTGAGCAGTTCGTTAAGTTGACCGAATAGTTCTTGCATCTCAACTGGTGCTAGATGATAAGGTGATTTGGCTACTGGGGTAGCCCCTAGAAGTCAGTAGATTTTGAACTCGACTTGTCGTTGTGGGGGCAATCCCGGTAGTTCCACTGGAAAGATATCAGGAAAGTAGCGTACTTCTGGGATACTCTTTAGGTCGTTGGTCTCTTGGATTGTATTGACAACAAGAGCAAGGAATGCGCGACATTACTTTCGCAGAAATTTCTGGGCTTGAATACTCGAGATGATACAGAAGTTCGTACCGAGTTTGTCATCGTAGATAATAAGGGTTTCACTAGATGGAAGATTGAGACCAACGGCTTTTTCCTAACACATAATGTTGGCACGATGAAGACTTAGGAGTTCCATGTCGATAATGACATCGAAACTTTTAATCGAGACGACATTAGGTCGATTGAAAATGAATGGCTATCTAAAGTTAGAGTACATCCGATGTATATACTGCTAGTGCTCTCGGTTTTTTCGTTAGCCATTTTTATAGTGAACGGTTCCTTAAGTGCACGTGATTGTTGCTTAAGTAAGTGAGCAAATTTCTGATTCACGAAACTCATCTTCGCTCCGTTATCAAATAGTATGCATGCATAAGAGTTATAGAGGAGAAATGTACCAGTGACCACTGTGGGGTCGGCAACTGCTTCCTCGTGGCCTATAACCAAAACCCTTAACACTCCATCGGCATTCCCTGCCTTCGGGCAGTTCCTTTTGTAGTGGCCCACCTCGCCACAACCGTAGCAAGCCTGGCCCACACCAACGTTGGGGACCTGGGTGATTGGCCTTGCTGGAGCTTTGCAGAAACGGGCAGTGTGCCCCTTCCTATTGCAAAAAGAGCACTGCATTTCCTAGCAGGGCCCGCTGTAGTGGAAGCTGCATTTCTTGCACTTCAACAAGTTTCCAGCGTACTGCTTTACCGGTGCAGTAGCAGTAGCTGCTATCGCAGCATGAACGGCCACGACCTGTTGCTTTTTGGCAGAACTCTACACCACATTCTTCTTTTTGTTATCCCAGAATTGCCGCTTGTTGTCAGTGGTATTGGAGGGTTCCGAGATGGCTAGGGTTGTTATTGTTGATGGGGTATAAACCCCATGGTCAATGAGACGTTGTGCTAATCGCTTGGGACTATCGGTAGCGGGGTTTGAAGCCAGTACATTCCCCTAGAATGGAGGCACTAGCCCCCAAATATACCTCTCTATCTTCTTTCCCTCAGTAGGGACCATTCTTGGACATAGTGCTACCAGATCGCTGAATATGGCAGTATAGGACACTATATCGGAGCCCTTCATGGTCAAGCTCCAGAGTTCTTGTTCAAGTTTCTGAACTTCGCCCCTCGGGCAGTATTCTTCGATCATGAGCTCCTTAAGATCTTCCCACCCCATAACATTAGTCACTATTAGAGTTAGTGACTTGACATAGCTATTCCACCAAGTCAGGGCTCTGTCCGCAAAGGTGCATGCAACAAATTTAACTTTTCTTCCTTCCGGACAGGAACATATCTTAAAGATTGATTCCGTTTCTCGAACCATTGTGATAGGGCAATGATTCCACCAGTCCCATTGATGGACCTGGCTTGCAGTTGGTGAAGTCCTTATGCGAGCACTCCCTAGAGCCCACTGGAGCATCACCTTGAGTGGAATGCACAGTTGTTCCACTCCCACTAGTTCCACTAGCACTGAACTGAGCTAGGGATGCGGTAACAGCCGCATTTACCGTAGCTTGGATAGCCACCATATTATATTGTGGACGAGATGGAGGTTGCGTAGGAGTTATCAGAGGGTTACGCCTTGTCACTCTTCGAGGATGCATTGTTTAACTGAAAGTTTACAAAGATTGATGATGATAGTAAGAATCAATTGTAAGTATAATGAGTGTGGTCCATGGACAAAACCTCCATAGTCCAAAAAAAAATGAGAGCATGATTTATATAGAGATCTAGTAGTAGAAGACTGAAAACAGTTGGATATTGATTTCCTAAAAGATTAGATAACTATCAATAATATTGGTATTAATGATGTAACATGTTTGGGAAAAATGACCCAGAAGTAGGTCTTACATGAAACCATACAGAGAAAATTTGACAGCACTAAGACATAATAGACTTTATAAGTTCAATGTCTTATCATAGATAGGAAATTGAAACTAGAGTTTTTACATAAACTTAACTTGTATCCAAAAGAGAAGGTAAAGTATGCTCTATCTACGACAAGAGCTGCTAGGACGAGTCCTTGATTCTGTCAGGAGACGCTCCATGTCCCACATGCACCTTTCAAAGGTTTCTTGAAGGCTCACAGTCCACTGACTTCATCTTGGTTTTCAGTAAGTTCCCTTTGTAAGGCTACATTATGGTTCAGGCCCCTTCCCTGAGCAGACTCCAGCTAGCGTATGCGAACGGTATTGACTTCCGTGTCAGCATCAACCTCTAGGTTCTGACCTGCATTAGCCCTTCCTTGTACTGCATTGTGGGAAATCCTGAGAATCAGAATTGGAAAGACTCTGTCCGCTGAGCCTCCCTCGCTCAAATTGTAGAAGCTTCGGTCTCCATTATAGGGTAAGGGTTGACCGTGCTCGTGACTCCATCGGTTCAAGTTTTTGCCCACAGAGGTGTGGGGCCTTGAAATCCTGGACGAGGGTTAGGATTTGGAATAGGAGCCGCTGGGGGTAGATTATTGACTTCGGGCTCGGAGTCAGAATCCTCCGAAAAGTCCTCGACGAAGTCATCATCTAAGG